TGGTATACGTGGTGTACGATGTGTATTAGTTTCCGACTGCAGCCATAATAAATGACCACAAACTTAGTGGCTTAAAACAACATGAATTTATCATCTCACATTCCACAGGTTAGAAGTGTGGGTTAGCTTGGCTGGTTTCACACTGCCAAAACCAAGGTGCTGGCTGGCTGGGATCCTACAGGGAAAGTCTGTAAAGACCTCCGCTTTAAAACTCACTCATGTTGTTGAACAAGATCCAGTTCCTGGTAGCTGTAAGACTGAGGTCCTCATTTTCTTACGGAGTGTCAGCTGGGAGCCTCTGTTCCTTAAGGTGACCCACATTCCTCGTCACTCTTCCCCACTCCACCTTCAAGGCCTGCAGTGATGGACCCACTCCTTTTCATGCTTCAGATCTGCTGCATCTCAGCTGGGCGCAGTGGTTCACACCTGTAATCCCAGCACTTTGGGAGGCCGAGGCCGGTGAGTCACCTGAGGGTCAGGAGTTCAAGACCGGCCTGACATGTCGAAACCCTGTCTCTACTAAAAAAATAAATAAATTAGTTGGATGTGGTGGCACATGCTTGTAATCCCAGCTACTTGGGTGGCTGAGGCAGAATTGCTTGAACCTGGGAGGCAGAGGTTGTAGTGAGCTGAGATTGTGCCCTGGCACTCCAGCCTGGGCAACAAGAGCAAAACTCCATCTCACTGCTGCTGCATCTCTCCTTCCATGAGGTACTCTGAGTCCCTCCTCTTTCCATGAGCTTCTCTGACTCCAGCCACGAGCCACAGCCAAAGAGTTCCTGTTGTTACATTGGACTCACCCTGATAATCCAGAATATTATCCCTAGCTTAAGGTCTGTAATCATTATTACATTGGTAAAGTTCTTTTTACTGTGTAATGTAATATATTCATAGTTTCTGGGGATGAGGATCTGGATATCTTTGGGGGAATCCATTACTTGGCCTACTGCATGGAGTCAAGTAGGAATTTAACTTCTTTTCCAGACAGTTAGCCAGTTGTACCAAATGATTCATTTCTTTTTTGATTTACTTAAAAAGCCACCTTTATCACACATGGAATGTGTTAATGCTTTTTGTACTATATATATTTATTACTGAATATTCTATTTTGTTCTATCGATGGGCTTACTTTCATGTTAGCACCCGACTTTAACAATTTAACGTTTTACAGGCAAGGCACGGTGGCTCATGCCTGTAATCCCAGCACTTTGGGAGGCTGAGGCGGATGGATCGCTCAAGGTCAGGAGTTTGAAACCAGCCTGGCCAACATGGCGAAATCCTATCTCTACCAAAAATACAAAAATCAGCCATGTGTGGTGGTGCACATCTATAATCCCAGCTACTCAGGAGGCTGAGGCAGGAGAATCACGTGAACCCAGGAGGTGGAGGTTGCAGTGAGCCAAGGTTGCACCATTGCGCTCCAGCCTGGGCAACAGAGCAAGACTCTGTCTCAAAAAAAAAATTATTTTAATGTTTTGCAAATTTATATTTTAAAATGTTAGGGAAGATTCCTTCTTCCACTTTTAAATTTTTTATTTCGTTTTGTTTTATTTGATTTACTATTATCCTTTAAGCCTCACCTGAAAGAAGATTCCCTCATTCCCTCTTGATACTTCTCTTTTTATTAAAAACATCTTTGCAATTCTGGCTTATTTATTCTTTTAGATAATCTTGAGAGCTGCTTCATTAAGTTCTTTAAACATTTTATTTTTTATAAATTGAAATTTTGCTGAAAATATATATTAATTCATTAACATGGGAGGACTTGACATTTTATAATAGTGAATTTGTCTAAACAGAAACATGTTAGTATTTTAAAAATACTTTTTTTTAATAAGGTTTTGTTTTTTTCCATGTAAGTCTTGAAAATTTAAGGACATTAGTTCATGATTTCTAAGGCGCTTTTAAAAAATGCTGCTATGAGAATTATATATATACTTTTTAAAATTAACATTTTCTTATTACCTTGGGTTTTCTTTGAAAATCTGTGTCTGTTTCCTCAGGTCACACAGATACAAGTTATTTTAGTCCTATATTAATTTAATCCTTGAAACATCAAATCATAAAGCAGTATTAATATAATTAAACCCCCCAGGAGTCCTGCTTCTGCTTTTCTCCCATAGTGAAATGTTCCATGTGTAATGAAGAATTTAATGAAAAACATCTTTTGAAGTACTGATTGGCAAAGAGACAGGAGTGAGTCAGTGTGTGGTGAATGAAGTCCTAATGTGAATGTCAAGGGAAACAGGACTTTAAAGTTGGCTGTATCAAAAATTCTTAATAGCTGATCAAGTTGGGATCAAATCAGTAGAAAACAAGACTTTTTTCACCCATCCCCTTCTCTCTCTTTTTTTTTTTTTTTTTTTTTTTTTTTTTTTTTT